AATGCCGAGCACCGGCTGCAGCACTTGGTGTCAGCCCAGGTCTGTGTCCTCACAAGAGCAGCCCTTCCTCAGCTAGGATTCAAGCCCCGTGATCTTTCATGGGTGAAACTGGAACTCTTCAAATGAATAAGCATCTTTCATTAGCATTTTGCTAACACTTTTTTTGGAAATGCTTCAACAGGACACCTGTGCAGTGCTAGTTAAAACCCAGCTATCAACTCCTGTTGTCCCTGGCATTCATGGAAAAAAACGAGGACTGTAAGGGAAATCAAGTATTCCTGGCAAGAAGTGATAAACAAGTAGATTTTGTCTTCGGAAGAAGTTGTCTTTACACGTGTAGTTTTAAAGTCTTCCACATGTGAGACTACAACAGCAACAGTGCTCCAGGTCACTGTGAGCTGAATGTAGCTGGTCCCACAAGCCATCAAAAAGCAGGTGGCTCTCACACCTTGGGCTTTCTCCTCAGAGGGGGCTCAATACCAGCCTGCTGGCCTCATCCAAAAAAAAAAGTAAGTAATTAATTTAGTATAAATACAGACCCAACCAGGAAAATTCCTTTCTTAGAACAAAATAATAGCATTTACTCATCCAAGTCTCTCTCCAATACGTTACAAACCATATCAAGAGGTTTCTGTTAAAACCAAACTGTGCTGATGATAATTAATTTGAGAAGGAAACAATACATTATTGCAATTAAATAATAACAGCTACTGCTTAATGGAACCGAGGTAAGTAGATTTACATCTGGTTACGTCCAAAGCAAGTGGAAAAGATATAATGACACGCACAGCTAAAGCCTTTGGGGAAAAACAAAACAAAACAAAAAAAAAAACACAACACAAGAAGCATCATCTCCCATACTGCTTGACTTCAATGACCATAACTTTGGAATCATAAGCACAACTGAAACCAGAGCAAGTTTAAAAATTATTTCATTTACATGTAACTTAACTGGCATACTGCTGCTGGGAGAGATGCACTCAGGAGGCTGCAGAGCATCGACTCCTGCACATCCCTTGCAGAATACGCGACGGTAAATCCCACAGGTCAACAATTCCTCACTGAAGTTATAAAGAACCGACACGGTATCAGCCTCTGTATCACTTTTGCACACAGTGAATTTGCACCCTGCTAGCAGCCTAATTTCACAGCTGGCTTCGTGAAGGGCACGGTGAGCCCGGCACGCACCGTGGTGTCAACATCTGTAAGGATTTAACTTGGTGCCCATGAGTAACTCGCCCAGCACGTACCAACCAGCCTGACACAGCCCATTTTCTTTGGGACACCTGCAGCTCTCCCCCGCCAGACGCCCACCTCACGGCTCCGTTCCCGCCCGCTGCCCGCGCTCCCCACCGCGCACACGGACACTGCCCGCCCGCCCGCTCAGCTCGGCAGCTCCGCGGAGGCCACCGGCCCCCCGGGGGACCCTCCCGCCGCCGCCCCCGCT